CCACGTACGACTTTCGAGTGGATGGTCTTAATGCAGAGTCGAGAATATATTGCAGATCTGGACGTAAGGCTTGTGAGGCCGATGACAGATTCACTAAATCTAATGAGGCAGAGGTAGGAGGGACTGCAGGTGGCGTCGATACCAGTCTGGCACTTATAGGTGTAGAATTCACCAGGCGGTTAATTTCAGCGACGGCAGGTCTGGGTGTCGGATCGTGCCCTGTCGCTGAGTAATGAGATAAGGGACAAGAGGAAGTTGAAGAAATTCTTTCCAAGAAATATGAAGAGTCGAGAACCATGGCTGGCATGGCCACCAAGGGGTTATCAGTAGTCCCGTGGCCCCTTCATGAATAATCTTTGCTACTGCTGTCACGATGAGGGGAATCGGTGGGAAAGCGTAAAAAGTCATGTCACTCCATGGAATCATGAAGGCGTCCCCAGACGACCCCTGTCCGATTCCCACTCTGGAGCATTAGTTCACGCACACCCTGTTGTGTTGGGTGCAAACAAGTCTATGTCTGGGGGATCCCAGAGGCGAAACAGTCTGTCACAGATCTGACGGTCCAGTTCCCATTCGTGTGACCATGACATATGTCTGCTCAAAAGATCTGCTTCTACATTGTCCGCACCCGTGAGATGCACTGCTATAAGAGTGATGTCCCTCGGTATGCACCACTCCCAGATTCGCATCAACAGGCAGGCTAGTTTCGGGTACCGTGTTCCCCCTTGTTTGTTTAAATAAAAAACTGTGGCTATGTTATCCAAGTTACTTGGACAACTTGATGAAGAAGCACGTCCTCGAATGACTGCAGTGCTTTGAATACGGCAAGAAGTTCTAGGAAGGTGATGTGGTTCCTGGAATCCCGGTAACTCCAAACCCCCTGGGTGCGTAGATCGGAGCAAATGGCTTCCCATCCCAGAAGGGATGCGTTGGTACCGAGAGTCACTGTAGGGTACCGGGGTCGAAATGGGATTCCGACACTTAAATTGTCTGATTCTGTCCACCATAGGAGGGACTGTAGAACGGAGGATGGGAGTTGAATCCGCTTCGTAGGTGGATCCCTTTGTGGCCGGAATATCCCGTTGAAGAATAACTGGAGAGGACGTAGCCGCAGTTTGGCATACAAGACTACGGCGATGGATGCTGCCATATGCCCCAACAGTCTTTGAACAGATCGGGCAGGAACAGTTCCGTCTCGTCGAATTCGATAGATGTGTCAGGCGATAGCATGTTGTCTGTCTCGGGGAAGGAAGGCTCTCATCACCGTAGAATCCAGCCAAGCTCCGATAAAGTTGATCATCTATGTAGGGAGAAGAGAAGATTTCTGGTGATTAATGCAGAGTCCAAGGTCTTGCAATAGGTCACAAGTGATATTAACAGCGGAAGTAAGTTCTTCTCTAGTCCCGGAAACCAACAGCCAATCATCGAGGTACAGGTATATCCAAATTCCACGTAGTCGAAGGTAGGCGCAAACAGGAGCCATACACTTTGTGAAAACTCTTGGTGCAGTGGCTAATTCAAACAGCAACACTGTGAATTCATAGATTACAGAGGCTATCACAAAACGAAGGAAACGCCTATAACGTGGATGTATCGAAATATGAAAATAGGCATCCTTCAAATCCAGCGATGCGAACCAATCCCCTCTCCCCAGCAACGGCAGGATATTTTGAAGCGTGGTCATCCGAAACTTTTTTGGTGTTATGAATCTACTGAAAGCTCTTAAGTCCAATATAGGTCCAAGACCTGCATCTCATTTTGGGACCGTGAAATATCTGGAATAGAATCCGTGGAGTCCTTCCGATAACGATAAGCGACGAACAGCTCCTTTAGCAAGGAGTTGGTGAATCTCGTCCAACAGAACTGACGAGATCGGTGTAAACCGGATAGGACTCGATGATGGAACAACGTCGAATTCAATTCTATATCCATGCTGGATGATGGATAACACCCACCCATCAGATGTAATGGACTCCCAAATGGGGAGTCGGCTTTTCAGCCAGTCCCCAGATGAGAGGGGGTAGTTGGGAGGAGAAGAAGGGTTTGCTCGCCCTATCAGCGCTGGCGTCTATCTCCATCAAAGCGGCGGCGGCGGCCTTGCTGGAAACGCTGAGATGGTTGCTTGCAGCGTTGCTGGCGATGTTGTGGCTGTTGGCGGGATGGCTATTGTTGCCTATACTGAGGCCGGTTCCATGACCACTTACGTCGAACAGGCGGCTGTAGTTCCATGAGCTGGGCCGTCATTCTTGAATCCTCTTCAACTTATGATCAGTTCGGGTGTTGAATAGGCTGGATCCATCAAAGGGCATTTCCTCAATTTTCCACTTCATCTCTTCCGGAAAGTTGCAGTTAAGCAACCATGCGTGCCTCCGGAGAGAGATGGCGCCGACGGGAGTCCTTGAATCTGTATCCACATGGTGCCTGGCTGTGGATAACTGTTGTATGGCGACTTGCATCGCTTCTTTGACGAAGACCCTTGCCAAATCACCTTGGTTATCAGGCAGGGCAGCGATGATGTTACCTAAACACTGCATTATGAAATATTGATAGCGTGCCAGGGTCACTTCGTAATTCGATATTCTGAGGCCCAGTCCTGAAGCCGCCTAGACCCGGCGTGCAAGGGAATCAATTTTCCGTCCCTCTTTGTCTCAGGGCGCTGTGTGACCCGCGCCTCCCAACCTTGAGACGATTCCACCACCATTGAATTTGGTTTGGGGTGGCGGAGGAGGATTAGAATGTCACATTCTCGGATCCTGTACATCGCCTCATATTTTTTGGAGGTTGGTTGAGGCTGCGCTGGGAGGTCCCATGGTTGGGTCATCGCTTGTCTGAAGGTCGTGATGAGCGGCAATGCAATCAAAGTCAGTTGCTCTCTCCGTACGACGTCATAGAAATGGTCAGTACTAGGCCCTGGTAGTTGGCTCACTTCAATCTCCAACGACTTCACAAGCCTGGACATCAGCTCGACAAACGTGATGTGCAGTTCTTCCGGTGATGCCGGACCCTGTGAAGTGATGGCTGCGTTGGGAGAAGTAGAATCGACTTCCAACTCACTGGAATGTACCCAATATGGAGGCGGATCACTGGAGGAGGAACCACCCAGTGACTGGGATCCCTCGCCTTCCCGAGGCGGTACACACTCGGCGCTCCTCGAGGCCGAAGGATGAGGTCAGTCCCGACGCTCAGGCGTTGGGAGATCGAGCTCTAGGAGCCGGGTAGTATCCGACGGGTGGATAGTCGGACCATTTCGATGCAGACACGTATCTTGCATGGTACCAGTCATCAGAGTGGGGTTCTGATGATTGGCTCCTCCGCTCTCTCGGTGGGGACAGTCCGGCACCAGGGTCGAGCCCAACAGATGGCATAGGTGTTAGGCTCGACCTTCCTGGCACTAGATTAGCATAACAGGATTAGCATAACAGGATGTTTATTAGCTTGTCAAATGGGGCATTCTCTCAGAAAATGGGCAAAGCTTGTCAAAGGCGTAATGGGCAAAGCTTGTCAAAGGCGTAAAACTTAAGAAAACAGACTAACCGCTAAACCGTTCCGCTTCTGTATCTCGCTTGCTCAACTTGATAGACCGCTGCCTACGTGACTTTGTAATTTTCTATTGTTCGCTCACTTGACTGTAAGTTGATTGTAAAGGTATAAAACCACCATTGTTCTTCTGCCAGGCCACCGCACCCTTACTAGGAGTGTGGTCCCTGCGCAGGTAATAAACTCATCTTAAAATACCAACTGGTCTCTGGTCTCATCTGCAAAACCGTGGGACACAACAATAGGAGTTGGGGATCGAGCCCTCAGTGGAGAGTCTTCGATCTCGCCATCAGAGATCGAACCGAGAGGTGGATCTTTATGTAACTCCAGATCCATACGGCGCGGGGACACCGGAGGCGTGACTCTCATCGCCGCTTGGATGGTCGGACCCAAGGGTGTCGGTACCGGGGCCATCATCGGAACCTAAGAGGCCGCCGAACCCGAACATCGATGTTTGGAATGCTCGGGTTTCTTCGGTTTCTTGGCTGGTTTCTCGGCTGGTTTCTCGGCCCTATCCTTCTTGGCCCTTTTGTGCACAGGCGGATTCTCAGGCGCACTGTGCTTTCTCTTTTCCTTCTGTTTCTTGGGTGGAGAAACAGACTGCTCTCCCATGGCGGAAGCACTCTCACCCGAAGGGCGTGAGGGCAGAGCAGTAGAGGAAGGGGCCGGGCATTGCGGCGGTTCAGTAGAGGCTGGACGGTGGTCTGGTGGGGCCGAAATTGCAGCGGGCTTAGCCACCAGCCAATCAGACTGTAGGAGGGCCTTGTCCCACAGGAGCTTCCGTAAACAGTTCTCCCTATTCTTCCTGGCTTGTTTCAAAAAGGCCAGGCAATGGACACACTTGTCCGTCCTGTGACCTTCCCCTAACCAAAGGAGGCACAGGTCGTGCGGGTCTGCAGCAGGCATTTTAGAGCAACACTCTCCACACTTGTGGAATGCCGCCCGTTGAGCTATTGCGAAAAAGAAGGAAAGAAGATAGCAAAGAGGGAATAGATAATATTTTTGTTTTGTTTTGTTTTATAGGAAGAAGACGACAAAAAACTGGAGAGAATAACAGGAATAATATATAAAGGTGAGGAGGGAATACTAACTTGGAATGAACAAGAGAAAAAAGTGGTTCAAACAAGAGAGCACGAGGTAAGATCTAAACGAGAGCGAAGCGGCACGAGGCACAACGAACGGCGGTCGCAAAGACTGGAAAATGGCGGACACTCCGCTCCTTATATACTACTAGGGGGGAGGGGGAGTGGAGTTTCCCGCCAAACCGTTAGCTGTTAATCTTCCGGCCAAAGGCACTGTGCAGGCACAGAACCCATATGTGTGATGCACAGAGGCCACGAAGAAGAATCTGCACTTCAATTGCTTGTTGACAAACATGCCAGAACTGCCCATATTTAGCAAGCAAAGCCATCACCCAGTATAGTCCATCTAATCTATACAACAGCTGCTACAGAAGAGCATACCTATTTTCCTGCGTTCAGGAGGAAGCTGGACAGCTGTCTGATCAGCAAATCTGCAGAGAACCATGTGCTCCTAGAATGACAAAAAATCCAAGCACAGATATCACAGGCGTCTTCCATTACATTCCTGCAAAATAACTGTTTCAGTAGCAGTACCCAGGGAACTATGTATATCTGAAGTACCTAACAATTGAATAAAGTTTCTTATTTTGCCATGAAAGATCATTTGCAACAGATTCTGGATGCCTTACATTCATTTATGCAACCAATAAAAAGGCTGCTGGTGCAAACTAGTCTGTGTCCCGTTTGGTCTCTTGTGGCCTGCAGTGACTGGCACTTACTATGTGGACTCTTGTTCTGTGCTTCTGGTTCAGATCAATGTGCTTTCACTGTTCCTTTCTGGTTTTTATCCATGGGCACATGAGTTGGAAGACTCAGAGTTCATAGAGCTCAATAAGGGCAACTGACATTATTGTTCCTAAACATTCCCTCTCTCTGGAGATCATGTCCATGATTTTCTAGAGATTTGCAGTCTCCGAAGCAGTTGCAGAAACAACTAGTTTGCAACTATAAGATTACTTGGGACAAGTCATATCACATACTATTTGTGCCACTAAGACATGCAGGGGTGGTGAAGTCAGCCAAGAAGATTCTTTTCTGATTCCATTATCTCCTTGAGCTGTCCTCCTCCGGAGTTTTCCAAAGGAGCTGAAATTTATTACAGTCTACTCCTCTTTAAAATGATGCAGAGCCTTTGAAAATCTGCTTAAGACATTGGAAGATACAATCTTAATGCAGATCTCAACAGTCGCTCCAAAATTTCTGAAAATGGAAGTGATGTCATCAGCTCCATCAGACTTCTGGGAGCCCAGTGATAAGGGTACCCTCCCTTTTGCTTATTCTATTCTTGCCTTTCAATGGTTAACAACAACAAATGAGGAGGGATTGGCATTCTTTTCAGCACCAGGTGAAGAATTCTTTATTTGCCCAGCATTTTAACGGTTTAACTTTTAAACTTCATTTTTAATACTGCATTTTATTCTGTACCACTGCTTCAATCTGTGCTGATTGAAGTTACAATTGCTCTGTGTGTGTGTGTGTGCGCGCGCGCGCACGCGCTTTAAATTAGTACTATAAGCTAATTAAATTAAGGGAATGCAGTGGTACCTCAACACCTTCCAGAGGCTTTGAATTATCACTCTAATAATTTCTGACTATTGCTCATGTTGGTGGAGGCTGTAGCCCAAAACATCTGGATGGCACCAGGTTGACTACTCCTGAAAGTTGGAAGTGCCCACATGTATCCTAATCTGTGTTGCTGTAAACTGCCTAGAGGTGTCTGCCTACTGGGCAATACAGAAGCTTAATATATTACTTTATTAATCATGAACAACTTTTTACATTTAGTTAAGTATGTAGAGAATCCTAGAAGGATTCCTCTACCATGCAGAGCTAAGACTAATTCTGTCTTTGGGACAGCTACCTTCTGAGGGGCTGTAAGGATCAACATTTATTCAGAAAAGTCATACAGAGAGCCTCTTTAGACACGCATATGACATTATACACAGCCACTGGGGCTTTCATCCAGTTCCACCATTAAAAAATAGCACCTTTTGCAAACAAACATTTAACCTGAGAGCTGATGTTCAGAAAAATAGAGAAAGTTCGTGCTGTGTGCACAGCTCCTCTCATTAAAGCTATACAGTGATCCCAAGAGCCCCATTATGTTTCGCAGAAGCTTATTTATGATTTTCTTGAAACATCATATGCACATACCATTGAACCACCAGCTGTAAGGAGTGTGTAAGGGCTGGTTGTGTTCCTAGACCAGATAGCACACCTCAGATATTTGCACATTATAGTCAAAAGGCATGGAGTACCAATACAATTAAATCAAAGCATGCAAAAAAACCAAAAAAAATTTGAAAGGGGGTTTTAGGAAAGGATGGTGAAGAAAGGGTTAAATATATCACTCCGCTATCACTGCTTTTCCATTTAGAATTTTAAAGCTTTTTAAAAAGGCGCTGGTCTATATTCAATGTGTTTGTGAGGTTAAAGCTTGTTAGCGTCAAATCTATATTATTGATATAAGCTATTTTACACTGAAACATAATAGTATCTGCTACAAATAGATCTAAATGAACAGAACTGAGTTTTCAATATGCGATGCCACAGTTGCCATTTGGAATGAAATACTAGCCGATTTGAAATGCTAGTCACCGTAACAAGCCTTCTGGCTCAACCTGACATAAGGGCGGCTTGAATCTCACACTAAAGGAAACACAACATTTAGATGAACTATGGAATCAGTGACACAGTGTCTAGCCACCGCATTCCAGCTTTGGCAATATATTTTCAGTAACTGAAAACATATCACTCCAATATGCAAAAATGCACATTAAAGCCTAGAGAACCATAGATACTCAGATATGTACATGGAACCAAGCCAGCATCTGGTACAGATCCACATGAAATGCTAAAGTGACTTGGACTGATTTCATAGTGTCTTCTTGGCTTATGCTTTCTTTAAAAATCAACGGATGCAAATTTATCAAAGCAATATGCTTCCTAGAACCTGCTGAACTCCCAATATGGCACATTTTCTTATCTGTTATATCTGCACTTTCCGGCTAAAAAACTGTTATATTATTTTATCTCAGTAAAAGATGAATTTACAAACATTCATGGCAAAGCTGGAAATATACAGCAATGGAAAACATATCATCACAGCAATGGTTTTCCCATAAGCACTCTGATAGATATTAAAAAGTTAAAGATACATAATGGCATTTTTATTTTTCAAGATTTTATGCCATATGTCATATGTGTACTGTTCTGTATAATTGTCTTTTGTGCATTGTATTTATTTGCTGCATTTATTGCTATTATATGTTTTATTTATTGTGATCCACTTAGAGGACGCTCGGGCCGATTAACAGAAAAAACTATAATTAATTAATTAATTAATTTCCTGGCCAAACAGGACCTGGAAGTACAACAGTGATTTGGTTCTCATCACAGGGAAACTAGGGTGTGATCTCTGTGTAAGACACTCTGATGACCCACAGTGGGTTGCATGTACCAAGGAGACTGATTCCATCATGAGTTTCAAGGTGTGACCAGCAAGTTGCTTGGCAAGAACTGCAAAAACCTCTTGTTGTGCCTTGCAATCTCGCCAGTTCCACTGCCTCTGGCAGCTGCTCCCCCAATGGCCTGGCAACGCTTGGGAGCTACAGTCACCGCTCTCGAAAAAGGTCCTATTAATTCCATGCCAGTCAACCTGCTTCTCAGGGTTTGCCCAGGAACTGCAATAACAGCAACAGGATGTAGGGAGTGGGCATGTCTTTCACTCACTGCAGACAGTTCAGATAGATCCGTCTGTTCTGAGGAGGAGGAGGATGTAGAAGAGCGAGTGTGGAAGAAAGGATTTTGAAGTTTTGAGATAACCTACTAGAGTTTCTCAGGCAGAGGGTGAGGACTGACCTGCTCTGGAAGGCTGGAAGGGTTTTCTGGATGGGAGGGGAGCAGAAGCAAGACCTAGTGCTTCACCAAGTAAGGAGGCAAAGGGAGAAATGAGCTTCTCAGTTGGAAGGGCTTTACCATTCATGTCCTCTAGCTCTCAAGTCACAAGAGCCACCCTGAGGGTCAAATCAAAGGCTACAGTGAGAGGGAGGAACAGAGGGGAAGTTTCCTATTTGGATCCAGCTCTTTACATGAGCAGATGCTTCTCCCTCAACTTTGGCAGAAGGATATTTAGAATTCATACTGTTCTGTTAATATGTTAAGTTTCAATAGAAGAACTGCATTTCAAAGGATTGTCATGAGTTTCAAAAACCAGATGGAAAGAGGGAAGAGACCAATAGTACAATGTTGTGATGGTTACTAGTGGCTAAAGCAATCTTTATTTCATAAATTTATTTCATAAATGTAATTAATATTGCATTAGTTTGGGTTAGTTACATTTCACTGAAACATGATTTTAGTTTAGGGGCCAACAAAAGAGAGCCTGCCAACCTATTCCTATTGAGAAAAAAGCACTGCAACTTGTTTCAGGAATTCCTCTGAAAAGTCTTGAATCTCAGGGAAATGGTGGGTCCTGTTTTTGCAACAGAATCAGCAGGCCCCACCACTTGTGCAACAAAATCATCTGAATGTAGGGTAAGCACCTGGTTGGCTTCTGTGCTAGATCAGCCTTCCTCAACTGCAATGTTGGCTGAAGAAGGCAGGGATTCTAGTCTAACAAATCTGGAGGGGAGCCAGTTTGTAGACAGCTGAACTATACAATGGTCAATTCACTCTAAGAAAAACAGTATTTGGAATATAATTGGAAAGAAAAACCTAAGCCATTACAATCCAAATCAGGGGATAAAAAAATTAAACAGGCAAAATAGGAGAGTGAGATTATATCAAAATGACTATAAAAATAGAAAAATGATCCAACAACGCACATATTTATGTCTGGCATGAAAGTTCCACTCCATTGGATCAACCTGTCACCAAATTCTTCTATTATATTGTGGAAAAGATCAGGAAGACACCAAAACAGAAAAGGTTCAGCAGCAGCATGACAACTATTTTTCTTTTTTTGATGGATGAATGTAGCCCTTTTATAGTGAAATCATTCAGTAGTCTTATTGACCTTTTTACTGTATTATCCCTTACATCATAAATGATTGTGTTATATATGCTTCTTACAATTTTGTGAGCCACCTCTAGAAATTCTTGAATCCAAAAAATGGTATACATGTTAAATTTATTTGGCACATAGAATATTTTATACTGCATTTATGACAAAACATTTTTCCTACACTTAAGAGGTAGGACAATTAATGCAATTGTCAAGCTTCACATGTCAATTGTGAAAAAGGGCTAAGAAAGAAATTTTAAACCATAGCTCTCCACTGCATACCTTACAGGATAGCACCTCCTTGAACTGATGACTGAAATGGAAAAATAGATGGATTCAGTAATCATCATGAGAAACAATTTAAAAATTTATTTTAAATTTGCAATTGCTAAAACATTTGGCTGAAATCTAAAGAAATGCTTGTGTGGATAGTGAATTGAATTCAGAAGCAACATTGGGTTGGTTCCTCATATGGACCTTCATTGCACACAGTGAGTATTTAAATACAAGTATTTATAATTACGGTGTAGAATATTTTAGGTTAAGAAAATCATTTAGGCTGCAAGCTATAGGTTGTACTTTTGCTTCCAAAGTATTGCCACTGCAATTCTTCGTATGTTTATTCAGAAGTAAGTTCCACTGTGTTAAACAGGGCTTAATCCTGAATATGTACAAGATGCAACCCAAGACTTTGTGATGAATGCCATACATTTTAACCAGTTTCCGCTACATACACCGACACACTGATTTCAACAAACATCTGACCTTCGTGGAAACGCAAACTTGGCTGTGTTCTGAATGAAGCCGTAACAGCAAGGGGAGATAACAAATGCTGCACGAACTTTGATACAGCTTTCAATCACCATATCCGTGGCCACTCCACAAGCATGCAATGCCACCTGCAAAAGTTATTGTTGAGTTACTGAAATGCAACAGAAAGCGTGCCATCAATAGCAACTTCAGCCTCTCCTTAGTCACACAATACGCTGTCAGTTATTTTCATTGCTCATTCTAAAATATAAGAAAGAAAGTATGCCAGGTGAAAAATATATTCACATTTGGCAATAGGTATTAAATATGATACTAATCCTAATGAAGTAGTGCAATGGCATTAAAAAATTAAAATCTGGCATAGCACAGAAGAATGTCAACACAACATTTTGGACAGTTCTAATTACCATATAAGGTGAGGTGGCATTTCTTTCACAGAACTAGGGCCTCAGATATTAATCAAACAGTTTATTAAAATGACCCAAAAAGGCTAAAAAGCAAAGTAATTTACACTTTTCCAGTATTTTATGTCAAGTGCATTTCATTCAGACAGATCCAAAGTAAATCATGGCTGATTATGTTGAACACAAGGATAGACAAAACTTGACAGTATTCTGGCATGGTTCTTATAATAAACTGATATGCTTTCTGCCAGGTTTATTCTCAGTCACCTGAAATGACAGCTTCCAACATTTCTACAAGTATGATAACTACATAGTACTTAAAGAATGTTTGGGTTTGGCTGATCAATTCAAGATATTGTGTAAAAAAGAGGAGCTTCACTGAGAGTCTAGACTGCACTGCACTGACCTGCCAGTTTATAGACTACAACTAATTATAACTAATTTATTACCACATTTTAAATAAATACTTCATCAACAACAATATTCATGGAACATATAATAGCACAATGTAGCTTGAGTCTCATGGATCTTTTCCAGTGATTACTGTAACATTTTTACACCACTTCTATGCAAACAAGTGGACTTATTGAGTTGAAATGCAATAAGTTATAAGCACAACTAATTAAATGTTCCCTTCAGTTCTGTGATTAGCTCCTGAGGCATCTTCTGTCTGACTTTTGTTTTCATTCCAGTCTTTAAGTTACTTACATTCCTGTCCTAACCATACTATCATTTCATTTCTTAGTCTGCAGTTTCTGGGGTTTGCGTCTGAGTAAACATGTGCATGATTGTGATGTTAGTTCAGTTTAACGCAGCTTGGGCCTTAGGTGTGCAATCACCCATCACCACCACCCCCTCCCCCCCCCACTTAAGCAGAAATAATTTCAGTCTTTACTCAACAGCCTTAACCATAGCTAAGGGTCATGTCAGTCCCACTATTAACCATGATTAACAGGGGATGATTTTAACCAGGATGTGAAAATCCTGGTTAAGCTCGAGACCATTTAGTACTAATTTTACAGCTGAGAACACTTAACTGTAGTTAAAGCTGGAAAGGGAAAGACAAGGAATTTATGTTCAAAAGGGGAAGGAATCGTGAAAGGAAGAATGTAATCTCACAGACCAATCTCAATTTCTTTATACTTAATGATCACATTGCCTTATGTCTGCATAAGCTCTTATTATCTTTCCTCCTTGTTCTCTAATGAGTGTATGTGTAGCAAAAATTTCTCACCATAGTATTGAGAAATAATTTCTACTAACAGTTTCATACCTTATCATTCTTCATATGGAATAATATAATATATTTCTTTTAAAATATAAGTCTAAAGTTATAGTTTCAAAATCACTTACCCCAATATTAAACATTCCTTTGAAATTGTCCATATTTGCTTGGATGAACCAAATGTTCTTTAATCCTAGTTCACAACTCCTCTCTTTAGCACGTATCAGTGACAACTCTTTGTTTTCAACCAATACTATCTACATTTCACAAAAGCAGCAGTTCAATATGGTCAACTTTTGAATAAAAATAAAACATGATAATGTTCAGGCACTTTGTCAGAAGCAAATAAATATTGGCTTCCTAAACAGAAATGTACCAGTCTAGTGAGTAATACATGTAAATTCCACCTGACCTAGTCAAAACAGATAATGGCAGCATTTTGGAGATGTCAATAAAACCATATGTGAATGCTAGTATCTAATGTCACTGTTTTCCTAGTGAAAGTTTATGCTAACTCTAGAGAATAAGGCTGCTTTACCAACTTTCAAAATGGCTGAACCAATTTTGGTGTGCTGTGTGTTCCTCCAAAAACCCTCGCTACATATCACAGGGGCACCCAACCTGTGGCTATTGCAGTAATCTATCCGTAATTACTGCTGTCACAGTGCAGAGAGCGAAGGTCTACAGTCAGTACTGAGACAACTTACTGTTCCAAGGAATGAGGTATCGCCTAATTCCACTTATCAGAACATAGCATTGTGGGCAACTACTACTGTACAGAAGAACAGGACTGGGATACTAGCAGGCTGGCATGTATTAGTCATACTGCATATGCCAACCATACCATATGTATACAGTTAACTCTTGCAAAAGTAATGAATCAAACATGTTAGCTAATGATAATGCATGGTATCTCTCACATCAAATTTCCACAATCATACTTTTGGCAATTGGGCCTGCTCTATGCAATTTTGCAGAACAGTGCACGCTGTAGTTCTCAAAGGAATTTGTGAACAGGCCTCTCCAGTTCATTTTCAACCATTTGGAAGAGAGCCAACTTTTTCAGGTTCACTTGTAGGCTTGAGCAGGAGTGACTCAAATTTCCCAGAGAAAATCTCCCTGAGACTTAATATGGAGACACGTTGCTCCTCAGAGAAACAGAAAATGTCTGCTGTTATTGTTCATGAGCCAGTAACTACAGTAGGGTATTTATCAAATAAAGCTTCTATATTCAAGTGGAAGTGGAAACACAGAATTTCCTGATCTGGGCTTCTGATTATGAGATTTCCCATTAAGGAAAACAAAAGAAAAACCTGAATGGTGATAGTAACAGAAAAAAATTATGGAAATCCTAAGTCATAAAAAAGATTAAAGCGCTTTGTCTGACGTTAGCCAAGAACCATGATGTGAGGTTAGTTATACAAACTTGTATTCTTAAGATAAAGACACTCCAGCAAATTTTCTATAGTTAAACATATATGCTTTTACTATAAATAGTAAGATTAAAATTTGTCTGTGGTTTTTGGGGTTTTTTTTTGACTCTTAAATAGTTTAGATGATTTTGTCATATAAAATGGAAATACATATGTAGTACCTTTCACTGCAAATCTTAAGATGTTCAATTGTTCTGAAGCTGATAAACATTGTTTCTACGTCATTGGGAAACTATGCTAAATTAGAGACTCCTAGCTTAGCCATGGCTTACTGTGAGACAAAGAGCAAACTGCATGCATGAGCAATATGCTCATGGCTATCTTGGCCTAATAAGACAGAATATGATAATCTAAACATGGCCTCTGTGTGGATCCTTGTTTTTCCCACAATGCAAGGGTGTTTGTAGTAACATCCATGTCAAATTGGGATTAGTTCTTGAATTATGATGGGAAATGTAAAGGATCCTTAAGGAAATCTACAAACCCCACATCTTACTGTGATTTCAGTTATTCTCCCTCGTTCAAATAAGTTGTATCCCCTACTTGTACCACACTTGAAATAGCATAATTAAGTTTATGTTCTCACGAGCGTTTGTGTGTGTGTTGGCTTGTTTTATAAGAGAGGACCTGTAGTGCAGTAATACACATATCATTTTCATGTAAAATGTGCCAGACTGTCAACCTAAGAATCTGAAAAGCTGATGTCTGGATGTCCCTATTCTAATCTTTTCTTTTTAAACAGTCTTCAGTCACACTTATCGTTGGAAGGAAAAACAGAATCTGCTGTTACTCAGAAAAATACATACAGGGTGTTCCAAAATTTGTTTAAAGTTTACCAAATGAAACAGTTTGGGTTTAAGTATTTGAAGTTCTGGAATATAGAAGCCTACATTTATTTGTTATCGATAGCTTACCTTGCATGATGACAATATGTGAGCAAGAACAATTCCAACATGGCCCTGTTCAAACCAAAGGGAAAAGCAGAAATAACTGTTCATCTGACACAACAAGGTCTTCATACAAAATATTGGTAGATTTTGAAAACAGATCAAATTCAAGTTTTTGCCTCTGTCCTGCATGTTGGTTATGGGCTGCTAGCCTCACAAAGATAAAAGGAACTGAGATTGCACTGTGTTAAAGGAAAAATAGATTACCCCACCACTGCAGAAGTCCACAATTACATCTTCAGGTTTAGCCAAGTTTGTCACTAAAGCCACCAGATTGTTGAGCTGCTGTTGTTTCCTTAAAGCACGATCACTGGACATCTTTCCTAAATATAATAACAAAGTATAAACATTGATCATGACTTCTTGTAAAAATAGTTTTGCAAATTTTCCTTGTAAATTTAATTAGTTTGTATTATAAATGTCCAATGTTTAGCAGGGCCATTGGTTTTGTATGGTACAATGAAACATGCTTTTACAGAAGGTTTATCATGACTCAGAGACTGACAGAAAAGGATAAAACAAAGTAAAAACTAGGATGTTATATTTCTGTTGCATTTTCAAGCATTACACCCTATACCTTTATAATTACAACATAGAATATAATTATAATATGTGAATAGCTAAGCATAAAGTGGAAACACCTTGAAATAGCAAGGAGTGACAGAATCATTCCAACAGAATGTAATTAATTAACATAAACAGTTACTGGATGTGTGAGTTAATTTTTAGTACCTAAATGCACTGGATCTAGGGTTAATTTGCTGTGACGAAAAGAGTTTCTTCCATTGGTGGAGCTGGGATGCACTGGCAGAAGGAGGAAGAGCAGTAGAGTTTTCTAATTCATCTTCCTCCTTCAGCCCCCAGTGTCACCTACATACTGCTTCCATCTAGAGGATCATCCAGTTTTCAATCCATGCAGTTCTGGATGCAGTTACTAATGCCATCTATATGTATTTGTGAAATCAGTCTTACTGAAAAATACCAAATAATAAATGATAATTTCCCTGCACTGTTGGACTCCTAAGGTGCTGGAGTCAAGAACGATACTATTTCATGCAACTACAGATTAGTGTAACTCCTGTCTAATTCAAGAGAGCCGCATTGCTTAATTAGCTCTAAATTTACTAGGGTGCGACTCTTTGCATGTTTAGAGATGAAAAAATTCTATAATTCCCAGGATCCTGCAGGAGTCATAGAGATGCAGGGAGCTTTAGCAAGCTGACCTTTAACAAGTCAGACTTCATAAATAAACAGATAAATTGATAAAGAGCAACAAGACTATCATTTATCGATCTTTGTTGTATTTATGGCACTGACAAAATGAAACTGTCTTATCCTATGCTTATACTTTGAGTCCATTTAGCTTAAGATTTTCCCAACTTTGTACCCTCTAGATGTTTTGAACTACAAACATTTGGGTGGCAGAAATTATAGCCTAAAGCATCTAGATGGTACTAGGCTGGGAAAGACTGATCTAGTCTGATAGTCTAGTCTATTCAGTCTGTCAGTGGCTTTCAAAGGGATGAGGCAGAGGTCATCATCTACAGTTGAAAACCCTCCTAATGGAAGATGGCAGGGACTGACCCTCCCAAGTTCTTCATGCAAAGCATGTGGTTTAATTTAAACTATGACCTCTTTTGATGGAAACGTATTTTCACTACTAAACAAAATTGATGTTTACAATTGTTCCCTGGCATAGATAGAATTGATTTATTTGTGTTCTATGAAGCCATTTATTCTGGATTTATTTTTAAATTAAAGAATAATTCAGATGCTAAAGCATAGTTTACACAGACAATGCTGTTTAGTTAATGAAGTTGAAGTGATATATGCATTTTGTAAACAGATCTTAAAACAGTAACACTATAAAATGAAATCCAATAAAATGCAATTTCAACCAGTGAAAGCCAATGGAAGCAGCAGTAGTGAACAATAATGGTTCCAGAGAGCAACCTTAGTAGGTTCTTCTTCATCCCACAACCAGCTGTCTAAAAAAATAATCTTCACAACATGTTTGCCAGAGCTTAGCAAGTGACTACAACCCTTTGCAAAAGAGGTCTTATTTAAAGTTCAGGTATTTGTTGAAATGCAGCATTTTTCTCCACAATTTTAAAGCAATATAGGCACTGGTTATAAAGAAGAATACAATTTACAGCCTTGGAATAAAAACCAGACACACATTTTTAAGGAATAATTTGTGCACCAAGAGAAACACTTCTCTTCCTCTGTAATTACTTCAGGTACACACACATTAACTTCTCATGAAGGAGTAACAATAAATGCCTCTGTTAGCAATATTACTGTGGTTGCAAATTATATCATATCTGGCATTTTTCTTCAAAAAAAAAGGATAACACGTGAACAATCTAAAACATTAAAGTGGGATTTTTTTCTTTTAATTTGACCAAAATCAGAAGTGAACTCTTAGAATTATGCTAATCAACAAGTATAAGCTTATTGCTTCCATGCAACTAAATTGTATTTTTTAGAATAACAGATATTTGCAATGATTTTTTAAAAACTCATCACAGAGCCAGCTATGGGTTCTTGCCATGAACCACTGTGCTACTGTTTTCACTTGATAAGGCTGGGCTATGACCAGATGATAAACAACCTTCTGTCTGTATTGTTATAGTTATCCCAATGTCATTAATGGTATAGCTATCACAAAAATGGTTGCTTGAATATGAAGTGTCCCTGTAGAAGTATCTACCCCTTTGACTTTTCCACATTTTTCTGTGTTACAACATGAAATTGAAATCACTGTAATTGACATTTTTTCTACTTGAAGTATACAAGGTACTCAACACTGAGAAGGTAGAAAATATTTTTACTGTGTCACAAAAGTTCAGGAAACAAAACAAAACTGGTACTTGTTGGTCACATATGTATCCATTCCTTTTGCTATGACATGCATTACTAAGTTCTTACTGCTTCTGGAAATATGGTAAATAGCTGCATGGAGTTCACTTGCGTGCAGTTCCAGTGCTGTATGATCTCAGATTCAGCTGTTTCTGGAAGACCCCAGAGTTTGCTGAAGAGCATACCCATGGTAAATGATCAACGTCATGAAGATCAAGGATTTATCAAAAAACTTCAGGATAAAGTTGTGGAGAAACACCAATCAGGCTTGGGTTATAAAAATAAATAAATGCAAACTATAGTATGAATCTCCGCAAGAGGATTTCTGGATCTACTATTACTAAATGCAAAGAATTTGGCTCAACCACATCTCAACTTAGACAAGCCTGTCCACAAAAACATTCACCAAAAGGCCACCCTAATTGAGCTGGAGAGATATACAGCTGAAGTGAGAGAAACTATGAGACAGCTATCACCTAGACCAGTGGGGGTAAACCTATGGCACATGTGCCACAGCGGGCACGCAGAGCCCTCTCTGTCGGCATGCGAGCCAAGTAACCCGAGTGTCGCCCCAGCAGCTGAGCATTGGATAACAGCGCACATAGGGGCCATGTGCATGCTCGGAAAGGAGAAGCGGTGCTAAGTGAAGATGTCACAAGCCGCGATTCGCCTGAGCTTTCGCATGGCTGGTGAGTATGCTGCCAAGGATATATATATACACTTGCTTGGACTGACTGTGAGTTGTTTTTTCTAAACTAAAACCTCACTTTTCAGGTTTTATTGCAATGTTGGCACTGTGCGATAAGTAAGCGGGTTTTGGTTTGCAGTTTGGGCACTCAGTCTCTAAAATGTTCACCATTACTGGGTTAGGGTTAGAAAAATGAGGTGTATGGCTTTTATGGTTGGAATGTGTTTAGAATGGGTAGACATCTTGAGCTGTGCAGAAAAAAGCTACTCAAGGAAGGCTTTTTCAAAATCACCCTATTTTCAGTGGAACTTTAGCCCTATATTAGGGTTAAGGGTGTGCACCAGGGTAAGGTTAGAGTTAGAAAAATGAGGTGGTCCTGGCATGATTTTGATGGCTGAAATGTATTTAGAATGGGCAGAAATGTTGAGCTGTGCAGAAAAGTACTCAAGTAAGGCTTTTTCAAAATTGCCCTTTTCAATGGATATTTCGCCCTATATTAGGGTTTGGGGTGTGCACCAAGGTAGGATTAGGGTTAGAAAAACAAGGTGTCCTGGAAAGGAGTAGTGGTGCCAGGCAATGATGTCACGAGCCATGACTCATTACCTGTCACTCATCTGATCTTTCGCATGGCCGTTCAGTGCGCCGCCATGGATAGATAGATACTGTAGATAGATAGATAGATAGATAGATAGATAGATAGATAGATAGATAGATAGATTTGCTTGGACTGGCTGTGAGTTGTTTTTTCTAAACTAAAAATCAGATTTCAGGTTTCATTGTAGTGTTGGCATTTTGCAATAAATAAGTGGGTTTTGGGTTGCAGTTTGGGCACTCGGTGACTAAAAGGTTCACCATCTCTGACCTAGACGTTCCACATAGCTGGGCTTTATAGAAGAGCAGTAGAAGAATGTTGCTGCTGGAAAAAACCCAAAGTAGGTTTGGAGGTTACAAAAGGCACGGGAGACCCAGCAAACATATGAGAAAATATTCTCTGGTCTACTGAAACAAAAAAGAAGCATGTTTTGTCCATACAAAATACTCTGTGTGGTACAAAGCCAAGAGTGTTCATAGCCCTGAGAATACCATCCTCATGGCAAAGCATGACGGTGTCAGCATCATAATGTGTGAATGCTTTTCCTTGGTAGGGAAACTGATAAGGATTGAGAACCAGATGAATGGAGCCAAAGATGGGGCAATTATGGAGGAAAACTTGTTTCAGTTTGCAAGACATCTGGAGCTGGGGCAGAGGTTTACTTTTTAACAGGACAATGACTATAAACATACATCCAAAGTAACACCGGACTGCTTTCAAAACAAGAACCTGAATGTCTTAGAGTGGCCAAGTCAAAGTACAAATCTAATCCAACTGAGAAATCTTTGGCAAGACTTGAAAGTTACTGCTCACCAACAATCCCCATCCAACCTGACAAATCTGGAACACTTTTGCCAGCAAGAACAGACAAACAATGCAGGATACAGACATGCAAAGCCAACAGAGATTTACCAAAGAGGACTCACAGCTGCCAAAGGAGTGTCTATCATGCATTGACTTGGCGGGTGGGAATAATCATGAAACCAACAAGTTTCCCTTTTTCTTTTTTTAACACTTAACAATTTAAATGTTTTGGACCTTCAGAGTGTTGTACATCTTGCGTTCATTAAGTGGTAACAATGTCAATCAAAACTGCTTCAGTTCCAAGCTGTTTAACACAACAAAATGTGGAAATTAGTGGGTGAGTATTTCTACAAGGCACTGCATCTATAAGGATATTT